TTTTTATAATGACGTCATCAAACGAATTCATATTATAATTATTTATTTATTCTATGGAATGCCGAGATTAAAAAAAATTTATTAATAATAATAATAATGATAATTACAAAGGTGGTGATGGGAATGACGATGACGATGACGATGATGATGATGATGATGGCGATGATGACGATTGTAATTTAAAAAAAGGAAAAAAAAATTAAAAAGGAGGACGAGGACGACGACGACGATTATAATAATAATAATAATAAGGAAAATTCCATTTGAGAAATGTCATTTAGTTGAGATTTTCTTGACTTGTTTGCGCCGCCATCATCATCATCATAGTCGCCTTTTGTTGTTCCCGATAATAATAATTTGTTTAATTTTCCTCTTTTACCTTCTTAAATCTCGGATTCCTAATTAATTTTCTAATTAATATTATAAGCAAAGTTGAATTCTTGTTTTTGAGATGGAAAACAACAACCTTTTTCTCAAATTTATTATTATTATTATTCTTTTCTTTTCTTTCCTTTTTTTTTTTTTTTTTTTTGTAATTCTCGGATGTCTTATTCCATTTTGTTTTTAATTTTTTCCATGTTTAAATTAATAACTTAAATTCTTATTTTGTCGTCGTCGTCATCGTCATCGTCGTCACTTCCCCGTCAACGTTTTTCCTTTTATCAAAAGAAAATCTCTTATCGCGAGATTTTCCCTCCTGGAAAATTCGCGACGATAAATCTTATCTCTCGAAAATTATTTTATTTGACAGAAGTGATTTCGCGTTTTTCACTGGTACCAACTTTGAAATTTTTTATCGTTAATTCATAACCGGAAATGACGTTTTTAAAGACGAATACTATTCGATACTACATATTTTTATAATAAAGGTTGAAAGGAATTAAAAGATTTTATTATATATTCTAAATAAAAACTTTAAGGCCGCCATCATCACCATCGCCATCTTCGTCGTTGTCACCGCCGCCACCACCGCCGCTTTTTCCTGATTTGCATTTCGAACTTTGTATAAAAAAAAAATTTTTTTTTTTGCGGCAGATTTTTGCTTTACCACAATTTTAACAATTTACTTTCCCTTGGAAAATTTATTAAGCTTGTTTAAACCTCTTTAAAAAACTTATTTCAATATTTTTAGAGAAAAAAAAAAAAAAATGAAGAGAAAGTTTGCCGATGAAAAAGGCTTTTCCAATTTTTTCGTAAAGTTTTTCTTTATTATTATTATTATTATTAATTTTTTCGCATTTTTTTTTATCTTTTTCCTAAGAAGAAACGGGTTCGAAAAAATTAATTATGCATTCGCTATGAAAAGGTAGAGAAATAAAATTAAGGAAAATCGTGAAGAGTGAGAGAGAGAGTAAAGAAAGGGGGAGAGCAGAGATTTTTCACAAGTTTTTTATTTTTTTAAAAGCACGAAAAAGGACGATGACGATGTTAAAAAAGGTGGAAGTAGAAAAAAAAAAAAAAAAAGAAAATACGAAAAAAAAAGATGACAAAATGAATTAAGATGGAGCGAAAAAAATTTTTTTTTTTCATTTAAAATGCAAATCGAACGTTTAAGTTTTTTTTTTTTTCAAGTGTTTTTTATTATGTTGTCGAAGTTATTAAAAAAAATAAAATAAATTTCTCGACATTTTCTTAATTAGAAAGAAAGAGTGAGATAGAGAGAGGGAGAGAGAGAGAAAATAAGGTATAAGGGAATATTGTAAATAAAACAAATTTAAAATTTTTTATATATAACATCCTTATTTAAATAAGTCCAACCCATCATTCGTCGTCCATTTTGTTTTTTTTTTTATCATTCTATTAATTTATATATATATATATATATATATATATATATATATATGCATAACTTTTTTTTTAAAAAAAACACCGGATGTAAGAAAATTTTCCCTTTTGACCGTTAAAAACCATTTGAAATTTTAAAAAAAAAAACTTTTTCTTTTTGACCATAAACATCTTTTAGTACGCGGGTACAAATTTTTGAATTTTAAAAACCGCTTTGAAACTTCCGGTTTGTTATTTTCTTTTTCCGTTAATGAGTTTTATAAAAAAATTTAAATTTTTTGAAGTTTTTTCATTTGTTTTACTAATATAAAATCATACCACGTGTTGTAAAAGTGGGTGAGTGCGCGTGTACGTGTTTACGTTAAATGATATGTGATAACATTATCAATGAAATCACTTTTGATAGCAGAAAAGTTTTTTTTTTCTTCTAAATTAAATTCTCACGATTCTTTTTTTATTTTCAATTAAATTTTTTTTTTTTTATTTTTTTTTTAAGGTGTGGTTCTTAGAAAAGAATGAAAAGGTTAAGGAAAAAAAAGGAAAAAGGTTATAATAATAATAATAATAATAATAATAATAATAATAATACTCGAACCCTATGAAAGTAATTATTATGCATTAAAAAATAAATAAAAAAAAATTGCTGTTGGCTTTCATTGAAAAATAAAATAATTTTTTTTTTTTTTTCTTTATTCGGTCGGGTAAAATTCATCAATCAAAAAAAAAAATTTCATTCATCAAAAAAAATTAAAAGAAGAAAAAAAAAGGAAAAAAAGGAAAAAAAAAATTCAGGGAATGAAACGTTCCAAAAAAAAAAAAAAAAATCAAAAATCAAATCGGAATAATTTTTTTTCCTCCCTTTCTTTCTTTTTTTCTTTTTCTCTTCTTATTATTAAAGTTTTATTACGTTTTTCAAAAATAATAAAAATAATAATAATAGAAATTCATTTTATTTTTGATATTTTTAACCCTTTCCTCCCCTTCCACTTCCCTCCACTTCCTTCCCTCTTACTCCTCCCACGAGAAATAAAAACAAAAAAACAAAAAGTAAGAATTTAAACGTTTTCACGGTTTTTAAATTTTGTCTAGGATCACGTCTATTTTAGTTTTCGCTTCTTTAAACAGTTTAATAATAAAAAAAAAAGGAATATATAGAATAAGAAAAAAGGAATGAAAGAAAGAAAATGGAAAAACCGATTTTACTACAAAAAGAAACAATACCAGAAAATTTTCCACATGATAACCGATATTTATTTACAATCAACGATATAAATTCTTTTATAAGAAAAAAATTCTCAAAATAATAATAATAATAATAATAATAATAATAATAATAATAATAATAATAATACACACATATATATATATATATAAATATTTCTTTTGCTCTTTTTTTTCTATACATCTTTTGATTTCAAATGAATTTTTATGACGTCATCACACACGCACTAATAATTTATTTAAAAATATATATATAGTTATAAACGTATTTTCAAAGAAGAAAAAAAAAATAATAATAATAATAATAATAATAATTTTTCGGGGGGGGGTTGGTGGAGGGGAGTAA